ACCCTTGTCATCTGTCAGTGTGGCGCTGCATAGATTATACCAAAGTGAGTTGTGAGTCATTGTACTGATAGAACATTCCAGCTTGCTTTTATAATATGGAGCTGGTAGACTCAAATGGAGAAAATAGGAGCATTTTTTTTTCTCCAAAAGAGAGTCTGGGGCCCTTAACTTTGAAATGGGTACAGCACACCTATGGGAGGTCTGAGTACACAGTGTGTACCCTTCATTTTAGGCATTAGACTTATAGGTTGGATGTTGATTTACACAAACACATGTGATTCAAGTTGTGGGTTAAGAGAAAAGATTCTGATGCTTTGGGTCTCTTGCTGACCTTGTCATTTACTGTATGAAGTATGACAAGCTTGGCTGGGATCCTTTGTCTACTGCTGAAATCTTGATGACTTTGTGCAGGCTACTCAAGCTCTCTAAAGCCTCTTTTCATCAACTGTGAAAAGATAATAGTATATACCTCAAAGAGTGTTGCATTTAGTTTAGTGGTAGGCACACAGCAAATGCTCAATATATGTTAGTTATTATTATTTAACACCAGAATAAGTAACACATCTAGGAATCAGGTCTGCTTCTTATGAAAGAATCATTCAAATGCTTACATAAGATTCTATTAATTAAATGCAGATGTTAGAAAATGTATTCTCTGATAACAAGGCATAAGCTATAAGGAATTTACAATGTCCTGGAATACAAAACAGTTAAATTTACTCATGAGCATAAATGTCTTTTAAGATAGTATGTTACTAAACAAAAAGTTCTTTATCTCAACTATAGATTTAGGATGAGGCTGCTAGTGAATGAATTTTTTTTTTCCTTGGTGAGATGTCAGCAGAATTGAAAACAGGTGTTCAAACAATGTCTTGTATACACATGCTTCTAGCAGCATTATTCACAACAGCCCAAACTACTATTTTTGGTGGAAACAACCCAAATGTCCGTCAACTGATGAATGGATAAACAAAATGTGATGTATTTACAGAATGAACTCTTATTTAGTCATGGAAAGAAATGAAGTATGTATGATATATGCTACAACATGAATGAACCTTAACATTATGCTAAGTGAAAAAAGCTAGGCACAAAAGACCACATATTGTATGGCTTTATTTATATAAAATATCTAGAAGAGGCAACTCCACAGAGTAAATTAGTGGTTTCCTGGGCCTAGGGGAAGTGAGAAATGAGTAGTGACTGTTTGATGGGTATGGGTTTTTCTTTTATGGCAATGGACAAGTTCCAGAACTAGAGAGTGATGATAATTGCACAGCACGGTTAAAATAATGAATGTTAGGTTATGTGTCTTTTTTAAAGGTTGAAAACTTTATTTCAAAAAATCAGCAGATGTTTGCATTTAGGTGAGATGTGTCTGCATAGATCAGTTGGACCCTGGTCGTTAAGTGTGTGCTATAAGGCAAGCCTTGGTTTCATGCTGAGGAGAATACCAATAATGGCAAGCCGTAGTCTTCAGCACTTTACCAGTCTGTTTATGAGGAAAGGAAAGTAGAGGAAGCAGGTGATCTGTTTTAAGGATCCATTTCAGGAGAGATCACTGGATTGGGTGACCAGAGAAGGCTTCTTGGAAGAGATGGGACTTTGAAAGATTAGTGAACTTAACATAATCACAGAAGAGGAGAGAGCACATCAGTGGCAAAAATGTATAACCCTGAGGAGGGACAGGAGTGTGGGCAAGGACCAGCAGGAATGGTCAGAGTAAAGGATTTGTATAATGGAAAATCAAGAAATAAGGTTGGGGTCAGGTACGATGGCTCATGCTTGTAATACCAGCACGTTAGGAGGCCAAAAGTTATTTATCTCAACTATAGAATTATAGCTGAGACCCAACTATCAAGGTGGGTAGATTGCTTGAGGTCAAGAGTTTGAGATCAGCCTGGCCAACATTGTGAAACCCAGTCTCTACCAAAATTCAAAAATTAGCTGGGCATGGTGGTATGCGCCTATAATCCCAGCTACTTGCGAGGCTGAGGCAGGAAAATCGCTTGAACCTGTGAGGTGGTTGTTGCAGTGACCCGAGATCTTGCCACTGCACTCCAGCCTGGACAACAGAGCAAGACTCTGTCTTGAAAAAACAAAAAGGAATAAGGTTGGAAGTGTAGGTTGTTGTTGAGTAGGAAAGTCCTGGAAAGCTGGCTGCCAGTGCTTAAATTCACCAGGCAGTAGATATCAAAGGCTTATCATTGATGATAAGAGTAGAAAATGAAATCAAAATGGGGAAGACAATAAGGAGACTATTGCAATAATAACTGGAACACAACCCATCATTATTTATTCAATAAATATTGATTGAGCCCTTAATATACACCATGCAATCTTCTATGCCAGGGATAGGGCAATAGCTAGGATTAAACACATTTCCTGCCCTCCTGGATTTGCAGTCTAGTAAACATTTCAAGCATTGACTGCTATGTCCAGTAGACAAATGTAGTTGAAAAGTTCAGGCATGGATGTGTTAGAATGGAGTGGGGTTTGGGTCCTAGAACCGGATTTCTGAGCTTTGAATCCTAGTTTGTCCCACTGTTTACTGAATGTATGTCCATGCAGTTACTCTATGCTTCAGTTTCCTTACAATTTAAGAGGGGATAATTATGGTAGCTCTTTCAAAGAGCTGTTTTATGAGGTTTAATTGAGACAATAAATGAAAAGGACTTAGGATAGTACCTGGCACATAGCAAATGCTCAGTAGGGCTTTCTTGTTTTTTTGTATCTGAGATTTAAATTTCTACCCAAAGATTTGTCTAGGTTACTTCTGTTTTTAACTGAGTGAATCCATTTCAGAATCCTGGCATATTGTATCTCAGGCCTGAGCTATCTTAAATATGATTTTGAACATTGAACTTGTTGAATTAATTAGCATACAAACTCTGCCTTCCTAATTCAGGCAAGCAGCAAAATTCTTCTTTCCAACAGACCACAGTCCTGGTCTTGGTTTGGGCAGAAGCTTCTATATAATGCTCCTTCTAGACCCTGAATCAAGAAGTCTTTTGAAGTATCCAGGTCTGAGAGAGACGGAGAGGACCAGACCTCAGCACATGTGGTCTCCCTCTAGAGACAGCCAGAGTTTGAATTTAATTTCTTTGTGTTACCACATCATAAGGGCCATAAGCCTCCTCAGCTCTCTGTGCTTTTGTGCCCCTTTCCATGAACTGAAATGAAATAGCCAGCTAGAACAACTTTCAGGGTGTATGTTATTTTTTTTGTTTGTTTATTGTTATTATTATTTTGAGACAGAGTCTCCTGTTGCCCAGGCTGAAGGGCAGTGGCATAGTCTCAGCTCACTGCAACTTCTGCCTCCTGGGTTCAAGTGATTCTTCTACCTCAGCCTCCCAGGTAGTGGGACTACAGGCACCTTCCACCACGCCCTGCTAATTTTTGCATTTTTTGGTAGAGACAAGATTTTGCCATGTTGGCCAGACTGGTCTCGAACTCCTGACCTCAAGTGATCCACCTGCCTTGGCCTCCCAAAGTTCTGGAATTATAGGTGTGAGCCCCTGCAACTGGCCTGGAGGTGTGTTCTTATGAGTATATTAAGAAGGATGCCTTGGAGGTTGTGGAAAGAGATTGCATAAACTTTGAGGGCCCTTCAATCGGTTGCATAAATTGATTCTAGAATGTAAGCTCCTTGAGCACATAGAATAGATTTTATTTTCCTTTCTACTCCTAAATGGTCAAACATAGAGCTGTGGACTGAATTGTACTTTCCCACCCCCTAAATCCATATGTTGAAGTCCTCACCTCCAATGTGTCTATGTGAGGAGAGAGAGCTTTTAGGAGCTTATTAAGGTGAAATGAAGTTGTTGGGTGAGGCTCTAATATGATAGAGTTGATGCCCTTAAAGGAAGAGAAAGAAACTGAGTGCTTGCTCTCTCTCTGCCACGTGATGACACAGTGAGAAGGTGGCTGTCTTCAAGCTAGAAAGAAAGCCCTCACCAGAAACCAGGTTGGCTAGGACCTTGATCTTGGATTTCCTGCCTCCAGAACTATAAGAAATAAATTTCTATTGGCTAAGCCATCCTGTCTATGGTATTTTTTTACCCTGAGCAAATCAAGACATTAAAAGAATATTTGTGGACCTAATTTCAAGATTATTTACAATAGTGGGAACATAAGAATAACATGAAAAATTGAAGCTAACTCACAATCCTAATACTCATTTAAATGGATAATCTTGACTTTACCTCCTACCATACATTAGTGAGGCCAAAAGTTTACAAAATTGCTTGGTTAAAATTCCAGCAAGACCCATTTTTCCTCTAGAGGAGGCACTAATGAGCAGTGAAATAGATCCAAAGCTAGAGAGTACCATTGTTGGAGAATATGAAGTATGGGAAGAGCCTGGACAGTTTATATTTCAAACTTTTAGTTTTTGAACAACTGGCCTCATAGCTAAGTTTTCATAGGATGCACCCAGACTGGAGGGGGTGAAAATGTGAGGGAGGCTGAGTAGCAGAGGCCTGCCAGTGAGGAAACACTTCACCTAGGTTGGGAGACATGAGGTGGTTCCCTGCACTTAGGAGAAGAATCCTCCTTCCAGAACAGTGATCACTATGCCTGAGCCAGCCAAGGATTCAGGTGCAGAGAGTTCCTCAGTATAGCTAAGCCAGATGGTCCACTTTTATTTTGGTGAAGGCCAACCTGAAGCAAAGACACTTTTCTTCTGCCATTAAAAACACAACAAAGCAAAAACAGAAACAAAAAAGCTTGTGATGTGGAGCTCTGCCAAGCTAGGGCTGGAAAAAAAAGTCCCTTGCTTTTCTTCCAAGGCAGTATGTAAATGATGCTCTGTAGTTTTGTTTGTGCAGCCACTGGGGACGGGTCAGAGTGCCCCACTGAAGCCCATGGTTGCTGTAGAATCTGATTTTTATGATTATGAATATCCTATAAGCTAACTCTCTAGGTCCAGTTGTCACCTCCCTGCACAGTCATCTTTGGTCGAAGATATTGAATTGTTATGAATGCCAAATAGCTTTGGAAAGTGATCACCTAAATCTGCTTATAGAATTTCAAGCATGTGCTTACGTGTAGTCCTTTCCCTAAAGGACAGGATTCTGATCTTTCTGGATTTTTCTTGAGTTCAGGTGTGGCAGACAGAGAGACATTAACTCTTTTTACCTAAGGAGGGTTTCTTATAGCTTAACCGAAGGAGTTTTCTGCTTAGCTAGAGAATTTGGAAGACTGTTTTTCATTTCTTGGCCAGGTTGTGCTATTTACAAAAATGAGGCCATGTAATTAGGGCCCCAGTGGCGTGTGGATTCATTCACTGGCACATAAGAGAGACTGCAGTGTTTTCCTGGGTTAGTGGCTGACTGTGCCCTCTCTGTTTGCTTTAATGGTAAATATGTCACTGCTGAGAAGGATGGCAACCAAGTCCTCACAGGCAGATTTTTAGAACAAAGTGTTAGTGAGTGAAGAAAGGTCTGTGGAATCCGGGCAAGGTTTTTCACTGAGTTCTAAGGAACAGTTCCTTAAAAAAAAGCAAGCAGCTTCCCAGTCTGTATGTTGGATTTGGATCCAGCACAAGTAAAACCCCAGGTAGAGCAAAGCCCATTTAGTGTATGCTGGGAACCACAGTGCCCTTCCTTCATGGTGCACTCACAAAAATGAGAAGGGGACTGTGCCTCACTGCTTGGCTCCGACTGCTGTGCCCCAGAAGAAAGAGCCATGAGCAGTGGCCATCCCATCCATTCACTGTAGCCCAGTATTGTTGGCAGCGAAGCGAAGATGCTCGCGGGTGGTTAGCGCTGGGCCTCAGATTCCTTGTTGAAGGCCCAATGGGGAACCCATGGTTAGAGGAAAGAAGTCCAGCCGAAGCGGAGCTACTTAAGCAGAGACTTGCTTTTTAGGAGGCTTCGCTTCATTGACTCAGTTCAAGTTTTATCTTAAAGGTACTTTATGCTGGGTTGGGGGGGGTAGCGGAATCAGCCGAGTTTGAGATTCCAGCATTACTCACTCATGAGCCAGGCTTAGCTGCCTGCTTTGAGAATTGCATCAACTTGAGGTAATGTTTTTAATGTTTTCTAATCCTGGTGCAAATGAAAAACATTGACAGTGATGCAGATTTCAAGGCCAACGTCACTAATCCATTCAAATATTTGTTTTGTTTTGCTTTGGCATGGCCTTGAATGAGACAACAACACAATGCTTCCAGAGTGAGAGGAGCACACTTTTCCCCAGAGTTCTGTTAGATAACACAGAAGAGTAAAAAAAAAAAAGTACTGGCTCCGGAGCCTGAGGATCTTGCCTTGAGTTCTAGCTTTGCCACACCATTTGACGTTAGGCACCTGAGAAAACTCTTCTGTGCCTCAGTTTCTTTCTTCACAAGGCAAAGAGCTCAAAAAAGCTTCTTTCCAACCCTGTGATCTTGACTAGGGAGATTTTGGGGCCACGTCAGGGCTGTTGGGGTGCAGCCCAGTGGTGGGAATGGGGTGGGCAAGGGCTCATCCCTGGCAGAAGCTACAGCAGAGCCCCAGCTTCGCCTGGGCTAGCTGCTTCGCCTGGCCACAGAGCTGGGCACCAAATGGAAGATGCAAAACCGGGTGACTGAAAGAGTTTATTTTGAGGATGATTACTAATATCTTAATATCTGTGGGGCAGCTGTTTCCCTGGGGGCTCTTCCTCTCTGTTGACTCATGGTGAGGTCCCAGCCTAAAGAACTCTACGGACATGTCTCTTGAAATACAGCTTTAGCATAGTCTCAAAATTTCACCAACTTCAGACCAAGTCCAAACTTTCTTCTATCCATGTTGGAGACATTTTCTTCCACTCCACCATGATAGATTATTGGAAACATGTATGAGAACACATGGACACAGGGAGGGGAACATCACACACCATGCTTGTCAGGGAGTGTGGGGCTCTAGGGGAGGGTTAGCATTAGGAGAAATACACAATGTAGATGATGGGTTGACAGGTGCAGCACACCACCATGGTACATATATACTCATGTAACCTGCACGTTCTGCACATGTGTCCCAGAACTTAAGTATAATTAAAAAAAAAAAGAGAATGTTGCTCTCTTCTTTTATTTTGAACTTACAAATTTCACACACAAAAAAGAAATTGTTGGCTTTAAAAAAATTTATAAATTCTGTTATCTGTTCTCCAAGAGACCTGATGGCACAGAGCTTTGATTGAGGAGTCTGGTGTGTAACCCCCAGTCCTGCTCCACAGGGTAATAGAGCCCAGGGACTCTAATCCATGCCACATGCGGTGACCTGAGCAGACCCTGCAGGAAAACAGAAGTCTCGCTGTCCCCTCACGGAGCAGTTGCTCACAGTCTGTTGTACAGCTGTGGACTACTTTGTTGAGGAGTGCAGCGTGGCTTGATCTTTTAAGCTCTTTTCTCCCTATAGGTATTATAAATAACTGGTCTATGAGAGTACCTGCCAGGAGGGCTTGAGATCGGCCTTCTGTACTCAACAAGCATTGTTTTTTATAATCATAACTTCATTAGCAATTATGAGAGACGGGAAAAATAAAACCCAAAAGCAAAGCGACTTCGTTATGACCCAAAAAATCCAAACTGGGGAAATAAGCATTGAAATTGAGAAAGACAAGCTCCTTTAAAATCTCAAATTCGTTAAAAGTTTTATGAGAAAGCAAGGAACATAAACAGGTCCAGATCCCTAAGATATTCCAAGTTGAACAAGCAAATCAAACTTCGAATTCAGTCAGGCTGTTGCTGAGAGCTGGAATTCTGACATTGCACAGTGGCTTCGAAATGCTTGACGGCCTTTCAGTTTTCATGTACTTAAAGTTAAGAGAAAGTTAAATTGCTCTATTTTGGTTTCTGTGTGTGGATTCTGGAGGGATTGCCATCTGTTTTAGATCTCTCCAGAGAGGTAAAATTCTGGGACACTGGCCTAAGGAGAAGGGGGTGATGAGACCAGGCTGACACAGGATCATGCTGTTATTATGTTTTACCTCCTTCCACTCTCAAGTCCTAGCAAATGCATTCCCAGTCCATGTGTGGTCCCTGTGAGCCATGGAAGAATTCATGAATGTCTGTCTCAATCATGCAGATGAGTAGGGGAAAGAAGTAAGGAATTCCCACCTTTTGCGCAGGCATCTGTTACTTAGTCCTTAATACTAGCTTGCTTTTAGACTTTTTATAATATTGTGGTAAAATGCACATAACATACCATAAAATTCAGCATTTTTAAAGTATGGTTCTGTGGCATTTTAAGTACATTTAAGTACATTTATGTTGTTATACATCATCCATCACCACCATCCCTTTCCAGAACTTTTTCACGACCCCAAATCAAAACTGTATTCATTAAATAGCAACTCCCCATTTTTTTCTCACTCCGGCCCCTGGCCACCACCATTCTACTTTCTGTCTTTATGAATTTGACTACTCTATGTACTTCATATAAGTGGAATCAGACAGTATTTGTTCTTTTGTAACTGACTTACTTTACTTAGAATAATGTCCTCAAGTTTCATCCAGGTTGTAGCATGTGGCAGTTTCATTGCTTTTTGAGGCTAAATAATATCCTATTATAGTATATACCACATTTTGTTCATCCATTCATTCATTAGTGGACATTTGTGTCATTTCCACCTTTTGACTATTGCGGATAATGCTACTATGAACATTGGTGTACAAATATCTGTTCAATTACCTGCTTTCAATTCTTTTTTGGATACATACCCAGAAGGGGAATTGCTGCAACATATGGTAATCCCATGTATTTCGAGAAATCACCATACTGTTTTTCTACAGTGGCTGCTCCATCTTACATTTCCAACAGCAACGAACAAGTGTTCCAATTTTTCCACATCCTTGCCAACACCAACACTTGTTCTCTTTCTTCCTTCCTTCCTTCCTTCCTTCCTTCCTTCCTTCCTTCCTTCCTTCCTTCCTTCCTTCCTTTCTCTTTCTTTCTTTCTTTCTTTCTCTTTCTTTCTTTCTTTCTTTCTTTCTTTCTTTCTTTCTTTCTTTCTTTCTTTCTTCTTTCTTTCTTTCTTTCTCACTCACTCCCTCCCACCTGCCTTCCTTCCTTCCTTCCCTCTCTCCCTCTCCCCTTCTCTTCCTTCCTTCTTTCCTTCCTTCCTTCCTTCTTCTTTCTTTCCTTCTTTGGAAGAGTTAGTGATAATTGCCATCCTAATCAGTGTGAAGTGGTATCTCATTGCAGTTTGATTAGCATTTCCCTAATGATTAGTGATGTTGACCTTTTTTTTAAGTGCGTATTGGCCATTGGTATATATTCTTTTAAGAAATGTCTATGCAAGTTCTTTGCCCATATTTTAATTAAGTTGTCTGTTTTGTTATTGTTGAATTGTAGGAGTTCTTTTTAATTGTTGATATTGATTCTTTATCATGTATTACAAATATTTTCTCTCATTCTGTGGGTTGTGTTTTCACTCTGTTGATAGTGTCCTTTGTTGTACAAAATTTTAAATGTGATGAAGTACAGTTTATCTGTTTTCTCTTTCATTGCTTGTGCTTTTGGTATCATATCCAAGAATCATTGCCAAATTGCTTTTAGATATTTTTTAAGGATGGCCCCTTTCTCTGTAATATCACACAAACCATTACTTATAGAAATTTATCTTTGAAGGGATTTTGCTCTGAGACAGCTCTTTTTTACTTGTATAGAGAGAGGCCTTTATATTACTTGGGAATTTGTTGATTCCACTTTCACTGTGCTCTAACATTCTCTTCTCTTTTTCTCAAGGAGATCACAAAGGATCATTTATGGTTAAAAGAGAGTGAGGGAAAGTCTTAGTTTGAAAATAGCCTCAATAATTTGTACTATAGGGGCTAAGGAGAGAAAGGGCAGGTTTCAGAAAGTCTGGGGCTTATGAGTGGGTTCTTTAGCAATCATGACTTGCAAGGCGTCTATGACACCAAACTGGACTGCCATTTGTCTGAGAAGGCTGAGATCTACTTCCTAAAGTACCCTCCTTTTGTCCTCAGGTGGAAAGATGGCTGAAAAGTGAGAAGGCCCCTGGGTGAACCTCTAAGAAACCTCAGCCCCCTTCCCAAGTGTATAGACAGTGATTTTTATAGTTCATTCCTTTTTAGAAAATACAATATATATATTTTTTATTTTTATTAAGTGTTGGTAAAACCCTTCTAATTGAAAATCCTTCTCTTCCTTGGTAATTTCTTACACTTTACTCACTATTATTTCTGGATTATATTCTGTGTACAGAATCACCATTTTAATAGTAACTATACATTCAAAACACTATACATATTGCTTAGTACAAAAAAGCAAGTGGGAAGTACATCATAAATTTATACAATCTCATCTTGAAAAGCAAACTAAATGCAGAAACAGCCTGAAGGACATTCTTCTGTACACTTGGTGATTCCAGAAGGATATATTTAAATATTATATAAGTTTTAGTCTTTTTTGATTACTTATGTCATAGCTGTGGACTTCTGAGCCATGGAGCTGCTGTTTACTTTAGACAGCCAGTTTTGCGTTAGGTGAGTATTTGAGTATTTTCCTACCCAGCATGTGTTCAGATGTGAAGTGTTTTCTGTGGCTTTTATGCTTGTGTATCTCGTATGAAGAATGGTTTTGTGTGCCAATAATTGTCCCTGTGCTGCTGCCTGCACCGTAACTTGACTCAGACATACAGAGAGCTGTGTCTGGATTTTGCAGTTTTAAAAAGTTGAATGATGACATACTTCATAAAGACAACTCTTTTCAAATGAACTGCAGTTTAATGAGTAGATCCCTCACATGTCTATGTATAGACTTGAAGGAGTCAGAGAACAGTTTTACTGATGCCAAGGAAGGCTGGCAACATGTTTCTCTAATATGCATGTTACAGAATGCAATGTTAAATTCCTGAAATCTCATTTGGTGTTGATCTTCAAAAAGGATCACATATATCCACAGGGCCTCAATCATCTAAGGGACTA